CCTCCCTCCCAACAGTCGAAAACCACGAAAAGTCGAACAACACGAAACACACGACACGAAACACGTGAAAAAAACACGAAAACCGCGAACAACGGGAAATGTCGAAAACCACGAAAAACGCGAAAAACACGAAACCCGGTACTATAAATTACCATGAGTATATTACTTATATTATTATTACTATATTGTTATCATTGCTAAAACTACTACTGGTTTTTGCATGTTTTGCGTTGTTTGCGTTTTTCGTTTGTTTCGCGTCTTTCGCGTCTTTACGGTCTTCGCGTTGTTTCGCGTTTTAGCGTTTTAGCTTTTGTCGCATTTTAGCGTTTTCGTGTTTTTCGCGTCCACCTCTGCGCCTCCGCTTAGCTGAGACACACGAACTTTTGTTACTATTACTGCCATTATTGCTATTATTACTATTTTTATTCTAGCTATTATGATTATTGTTGTTGCAATTGTTATAAATATTTTCCATATTTTTATTGTTATCATTATTGTTACTATCATCATCATTATTTTTATCATAGTAATTATCATCATTATTCTTCTTGTCATTATTCTTATTATCATTATTATCATTATTATCATTATTAGCATTATTATTATTATCATTATTATTGGTATTATTCTTATTATTGTTATTATATGTATTGTCATTTTTACCATTACTAGTATTATCATTATTATCATTTGTGCCGTCACTGTGGTACAGTCGAGGATGCCATGTGCGCCAAGAGTTCTGTTCTTTCGTGCATGGGTCTCGTTCACGCCCATCTGTGGTGAGGGAGTGGACGTTGGCGAAATGGGGTCATCATCCCTTTGCTGATGGGAGGAGTTCTCGACATGGTTCTCACGTGATGCAGCCGTGCTTATGCGGGGCTCGCGCACAAACCTTCCTACATGCTTCACGATACTGCCCTCTGTTTGAAGATTGGAGGCGAATTCCGCCTGTTGAGCGACAACTGGTGCATTCCTTGTCGGATGAGGAGTATCTACACGAATTGTTTATGCTCGTGAGTCTGCGGCGCACACCTGTTGCGATATTTCCGCACATCACTGTCGTGTCCAATGTATGTCAGGTTCAACGTTCTATAGCCTCGGGCTTGGAGCTTCATGCTCCGTTGTAATGCAATGAGTTGTTGATACTTTCACCTGCACATAATTACTGGCCGTATAGACGGTTGTTTCAGGACACTTGCTTGCTATCAGTATTATTATCATGGTTATTATCATTATAGTTCTCATTCTGGTAAGTATTATTTATCATTATTCTTATTACCGTTGAAATTATTACTATTATTACTTCTACTACTACTGTGCTGAATTTTTTCATTTTTCGCACTTTCAGCATTTTTCACGTTGTTGCTGTTTTTAGCGTGTTTCGCGTTTTTCGCAGTTTCGCGTTTTTCGCATCCACCTCTGCGCCTCTGCTTAACTCAGACACACAAAGCGTTTCCACAGCCCCTCCCTTCCCATCCCCTCCCCTCTGTGCCTCCGTCCGTGTTCTGTGAGTTCTGGCATCTGTGCACACACACACACACATATATATATATATATATATCTATATATACACACACACACACCTATCTAAGTCACATCTACATCTATCTGTCTGTCTGTTTGTCTCTCTGCCTCTCTGTTTCCTTGCTGTCTCGGTCTGTCTGCGTCTGTTTCTGTGTGTCTCTCTCTCCGTCTCTCTCTGTCTCTGTGTCTCTCTTTCTCCGTCTGTCTCTGTCGCTCTCCGTCTGTGTCTGTGTCTGTCCGTCTCCGTCTGTCCCTGTCACTTGTCTGTCTGTCTCTCTGTGTCTCTCTGCGTCTGTCTGTGTCTGTCTGTGTCTGTCTCTGTCTGTCTGGGTCTGGCTGGGTCTGTCTGTGCCTGTCAGTCTATCTGCGTCTGTCTCGGTCCCTCTCTGTCACTCTCTGTTACTCTCTGTCTGTCTCTGTCTGTGTCTGTCTCTGTCTGTCTGTGTCTGTCTATGTCTGTCTGCCTGGCTGTCTGCCTATCTGTCTGCCCTCTCGCTCTGTATTTCTTTTCATCTACTGTTCAATCTGCATCCGTGTGTGTGAGATTGTTGTAGCTCAGGCATTGGCGGAAAAGACTGGAGCAGGTTGGCCGTAAAAGGTTGTAGCACGTTGCAGCTCTGTGGCCCGTGCGTCTGATGGCAGAGATGGGCGCTGATGCATCCTCGCCGCAGCAGAAAGCTGCAAATAGAGTCATAGAGCAAGGCAGCCAATCCCGTGGTGTTGCTGCTCCATGTCGTAGGAAAGGCATCGATTGTACACGAGGCGACATGAATTGAAACTCGCCACCGCTACAGAGTACTACAGAGGGAAGCGCGGGCTGCAAACCCCATCGCCAAGTCTGTGCTGCAGTGGCTTGTCGCTGCTGCTGCTGCTGCTGCTGCTGCTGCTGCTGCTGCTGCTACATGTGCCCACGTAGTCATAGTCGGCAAACGACAAATCGTGAGTTAGCCCAGCACAGCCAGTTTTGCACCCAAGCTTAGGTAGGAAAGTGTATGGGGACGGCAAGCAAATGCTGAATCGTGCTTGAAGTATCAGCGGTGAGTGTAGCTGCAAGCATGCAAGTTACGCAGAAGGCATGCCAGATGCAAATTTGGCCGTTTGACTTGAGCACGGCCACACCGCAACCTAAGGGAAGTTGACGTTACCTGCGACATGTTGCAGTTGCGAGCAGCTTGCTTCGCTGAAGCCTTTTTTGGACAGGTGCTGCAGCTGTCGAGAACTCAACCAGCATACAGTCAAGACAGCTGTGCAACCAGTGTGATTCAGCATCGGTGTCACTTTGCGCATTTGTGTGCGACGCCGGATATCACGTGCAGCCGAGGCCTTTACAGCTGGGTTTGCAGTGCCTGCGCAGGGCCCAACTGCTGGATTTTCATCAGCTCCGATGGGTTTCTCGAGCACTGCAACTGGCCCGACAACCCAAAGAGCTGCCAGTCTTTTGAGGCCGAAACTGCAGAACCTGTTTGTTCCGAATCTTAAAACACACTATGTTTCCAGGCGGCGAAAAGTGGTGAGCTCCAGCTCCAGCTCCAGCCGTAGTAGGCGACGGCAAGACATCGGTGAGTGCTCCACCATGTTCACAGCATACTGTACGCTTCGCTTGCCCTGGACACTTGCGAAATCCGTAAAGATCCGTAAAGGCGATCGCGTGGGAAGAGAAAATCCAGGAGGGGTCCGCCGCTAAGCTTTGCCACATCCCAACATTTCTCATTCGCAGGAGTAGACGGCGGAGCCGCAGTCGCAAAGACCGCAGCCGGAGCCGGGATCGCAGAGACCGGAACCGTCGGGATCGGCGTGAGCACTCACGCGGCCGACGCAGACCATCACGTTCACGATCTCGAGACAGAGATCGAAAACGTCAAAAGAAGGATAAGAGCGACGGAAGCCCAGCAAAGAAGGTGCAGGAAGGTAAAAGTCACAAGGTGCCAGCTTGTCAGATAGGCAGTGCGGGGTGCAAGCTGATCACTTCAATAGTTGATTCGTTGGAGTCGGCAGGATCGGAGCGACTGCTTGGTTCAAGGTGACGGAGGTGTTCAGGCCTCGTCCGCTTCCCCCATGTGCCAGCTCCAGCAAGACATCCAGCGGCAACTTCTAGAGGAACAGGAAAGACAAGAAAAGCAGCGGCAGCATGAGCTCCAACTTCAGAAGGAACTTGAAGAAGAGCACAGGGAACTTGAGCTGCTTTGCGAGCAGTCACAGCATGCGCCCCAGGAAGTCTCCATAGGCACGAGCCAGTCGGTTTTTGAAGGTGGATCGGGGATGGCTCGAGACCCGGCTGTTGCCGAGACAGACCGAGAAGAGAACAATCTGAAAGTTGCTGATGGCGGAGGAGCAAAAGGAATTCAAGAGCAGGACGGACGCTTCTGTGATGTCGTTTGTTAGCAGGCAGCACGTCATGCTCGACTTGCCCTCTGATGTAGGACTTGGCCGAGGGCAAGACAGCAACGATCCAGACCAAAGGAGATTTCGGGCACGACCAGATGAGGACAGATCACGTGAAGCCAGAAGACCAGCAGCAGTCAGAGAAAGCAAAAGAGACGGCCAAACCTAACGCAAAGAACAAGGACAAGACATCGGACATGGATAAGAAGAAGAGCAAGGACGTTCACCCAGAAGGTGTCACGGATAAGGGCAAGCAGAATGAGAAGGAGAAAAAGAAGAAGGAGGAGGAGGAGGACAAGCAGGAGATGGGGCGCAACAAGGCGAAGAAAGTGGATACGAAAGACATGGAGAAGAAGAAGAAGAAGGATGACAAGCAAGAGACGGGGTGCAACGAGGCGAAGAAAGTGGAGACAAAAGACAGGGAGAAAATGCATAAGGAGGAGGCGAAGGACAAGCATAAAAGAAAGGATGGGACAAAGGACAAGGAACATGTAAATGACGAGATGAAGGAGAAGGACAAGAAAAAGGAGGCGACGAAAGAGAAAAAGAAGAAGGAAGAGGCAAAAGAGAAAAAGCAGGAGACATCGGACAAGAAGGAATCAAAGCAAGCCAAGGAGAAGACAGACAAACAGCGCGAGAAAGAGAAGAAGAAACAGGATGGTGAGACCCCCAAGGATAAGGACCAGCAGAGTGAGCATGCCGAGGACACAGGCGCCAAAAAACGAAAGAAGGATGCAACTACATAAGGGTGACCGAGAAAACGAAGGCGGGCTTTTGCAGCTTCGACTGTGTTCCCCAGAACACCCGAACAGCAATGAGATAGACACTGCGTCTACCCACCCCTCGATTGGCCAACAACAAAGCAAGGGCTTGGATCCATTCTGATTAGTGTTTCCGGTTTTCCGAAGTCGTTAATCTGGATTTCTGGATTTTTGTTTGTTTTTTGCATTTCGCATTTACTTTCGTAACTCAGCGGGCCAGGCGAGCGGATGACTTTGTGGAGCAGCACGAAAACGCAAGCACTTTCGAGGTGCAGTCAGGCATGTCGCTCATGATCTAGAACCTAGACCTTTCTGGATGCTCATTTCTCCGAAGTGTTTCCGACGCGCAGGATCGAAATCTGCATATTCTCACTCACAGGCATACCCTCTGCAACCGTTTCGAAGGTGGTGCGCCGTGAAGAGTCGAGCCGAGATGCAAGCTACTGCCCGACAAAGCGACATGAAAGCTCCTGGCTGAACAACTCAATGAGCGGAGGCAGTGTTTCACCCAACAGCGTCACAGCGCCCCGAGGTTATATTCGGAGGATGGCAGTCGAAAAACCTGAGAGCCTCTGTCTAGTCTGGATGCACTTCACTACACTCTACGAAAGCTTTTCGTTCACAGCGTCTCAGTGCGCAGCATGGCTCAGTCGGATGCAGTTGTGCCGCTTCTTTGCAGGTGAGTGGCTTCATTGGAACGGTCGTCCACAAACCATTGCAGCAGTCTTGACCACTCCGGCCCTGCCGAGCAAACCCGTTGCCTGTATCCGTGCTTGCCTGAGCGAGACACAGAATCTTAGCACCCACATTTGCCCGGCGTGAAGTGCCTTACTGTGCTGCAGATGGGCACTTCCCAGTGCAATGCCTAGCTTCTTTGAGTGCTTTGTGTTTTCGGGGACCGCGTCCACTTGCGGCCCTCTCCGTGAGTTCCAACGTTAGCCTCCACGCTTGCGAGGTTGCGTAGATAAGATTGTATTTCAACTACTCTTTCCCATCACAAGATAGCTATGAAAAAGCATGCGGCAGCTTGACAGACATATGTCGCATAAGTTGTCAGTTCTCAGAATCGCTAGTAAACAGTGTTTCAACACGGGACCGGCAAGGTTGCGGGAACAGAGTGCGCATGATGAAGTGTAGCGGGAGTCTCCAGTCTAGAGGCCTGTGTGTTGCCAGGTTTGTCCGGGGTACGGGCGGTACGGGTAGTCTGTCGTTTCCATAAGCCGCTTACGTCTGTGCCTCGAGACTCGAGGCCCGGACGCCTGCAAGCTGAGCATTTTTACCCCTCGTGTCTTTATGAGCTTGCCAGTTCGGCGGCATCGTTCCCACACCCCACCTTACCTTTGCACCTCAGCTTACGAGGTAGGCGCAGATAGCCATCACCCTCCCGATCTGGTTTCCGCTGTTTCCTGAGGGGCCGTGCGGTCCGGAGATCTCGCTTGGGCAAGTGTTGGCGCGTAATTGCCTTTGCAGGTGCCTCAGGCATCGGCTGGTGATCACTGATGGCTCTGTCCTGCCAGTCGAGGTGCTTGTGCAGATTTACGTGCAGCGGCACGTCAATGGCTTTGCCGTTCCCCGGGATTCCCGTCATGGTGTGGTTATCTCGATTTGCATCTCTTCGAAGTTGAGGCTGGCTGGTCGCGAGCGCTCCAAGGACACACTTGAAACGGATGTCGCTTTGTGGCCATTCCACGCAGTCGCAGGACTCGGAAGTGGTGTGGCTGGCTCAAGGCATTGTGTGGTCGGCGGCCAAGCAAGAGATAGCAGCAGATCCTGAGGTGGGATGCTAGCTGCTGCTTTCATGCTTCGCTGCATCGAGGTCAGATGTGACAGTGACGGCGAGTCCCTGGATGCCTACGGCGCCTACCCTGCCCAGGTCCAGCTTCGTGCTGAAGCGGTACCATTTTTAAGCAGTGTTGCTGAGGCAGCCCCGGGAATTTACATAGCTAAGACAGCGTCGCACCCTCAGTGCATGTACGGGAGCAGAGGGCGAGGAAACCGGGTCGAAGGTTATACTGCAGCGCGAGGAAGGGTTTGATTCGAGAGATGGTGCGGCGGCCAGTAAAGCTGGATAGCAGTGGGACTTGTTTCGGGGCTCGTGTTCCCTGCCAGATATACTGCCACTGTCGGCAGTGCTCGGGCGTGAATGTCTTGGAGCCTTCTTGACCAAGCGGGTACTTGAAAAAAGTTACAGCGGCACTGGAAGTTCGGGATAATCCATACCGTACCGCAGCCTCTGCACGGAAATTCGCAAGCAAGTCATCGTCCAGAGTGCTTAAGTCGCGAAGGCGTATGCTTGGAGGCATATGTCATGTCTGCTGGCAAAGCATGGTCAGAGCGTTTTCTTGTGTTTGACCGCCTGAGCGCCTCGCTTGATCCTGCCAAGTGCCAAAAACTAGCGCCGGAAGCACCCGCCGCGTGCTCGCCGAGGATTCGTTTGCGTGCAGAAGCAGATGCGGTGCTGTGCCCCAGAAATGGGTCAGTCAGGTCAATTGCACGCCCCCTATTGCTGCTTGCGTGTGCCAGCAGGACTCAGAGCTGACAGGCGACATGATCAAGGCAGATACAGTCCGAAACCTTTGGCGCAAGATTGCTGCTTGGAGAAGGTCGGGGAAGTCTTCGAAGCTACAGAAGCTGTACCCCCGTCAGACTCCACCGGGCCAAGAGCTTGGACGTGCATGGATCCTCGTCTTTACTCTCGTCGTCTGCGCCTCTTTGTGCTGTATGTATCCCATGCGCTATAAAACGCTACTCACAGGCCTTGTTCCCTTTGTTCGTATGCCAGCCTTGATGCAGACTCAATGCAGCCGTTGTTTGCCAGCTAAAGCTGCAGGGCCTGTTTCTATCAGGCTTGGATATCTTCGGGTTGGAGACAGGGGCTGGGTCTTTGACATGGGCATCGCTGGACCATGGGTTAGCAACTCAGCGTGTCTCGAACCGGACCGGGGTGACATCCAGGCACTGCTTGTAACTGAGATTGGTGTGCCTGTGGTGGCGGCAGTCACTGGACCAAGTGCGATGAAGTGACCCTTGACCCGCACGATGAAGCAATTCTAGTTAGAGTAAACCAAGACTTCCAGGTACGCGCAGATCTTGCGCAACCCTGTGCAGTACGCCGAGTGGGAGCCTTACTTTTGAAACGTTTAACTTCTGTCTGGGCGTCTGGCACGAACCGATGGGCGAAGTGATTGTCCGCGGTCGAAGAATTGCAGCCAGAGTGCGTCTCTCTCTCGGGACCATCCTATCTCGCAGGTATCAGGCAGCCCTTGGCGAGGAGATTTTCCCCAACGAGGTGGAGTTACTTGTGAGTACCGCCTTGCTTTATCTCGGCGTTCCGGTTTAGTGTGAGAAACCTTGCGGCGATGCTGTGTTGAGTAATCGAAGACACATGCCGTGCTCGTAACCAGCCATTTCGCAGGATCAACCGGAAGGACCATCAAACGAAAGGTCCCGACCCTGCAGCCTTTGCTGAAACCGTTGCTTTGGGCAAGACGGCCGGCGACAAAGCCAATTGGCCATGTGACTGCAAGGAACGATGCTCTGTGGCAGGACTTGCAGCAGGCCGCCGGCAAGAGCGACACAGACAGTTCACTTGGTATAAGCTTTGGCGGAACAGGATATCGAAGACACCGGGCTGCTGACTGAAGACGAGCAGCAGTCGCCGGTGCCCCAAGAGCTTTATCAGAATTGCCGGAATGCGGTGCTAGCACTCTTGGCGGCGAAGGTTCGAGAGTCTGTGTCAGGACAGGGCCGACTGACCTGTAAGTTGTGATCTTGGAGATGCTGAAAGCCAGGATGAAGAGGAACGGAATTTGGTCCTCTCCTCTTTGCGAGCAGCCGCAGGCAGACACACGCCGGAGTCCCTAACCATCTCCAGCACATGTCCCTAGCACGGAGGAGAAGCTTTTCGCAAGCTGGTGGTGCCAAGATGGATGAAGCTGGCTCAGCGTGCAGCTCTTACTGGCACACCCCAATGCCTTCTCGACCGTCTCGCTCGTGCGCGAGCCCGGCTGCGAAAGGGTGAACGGGGTCACTCCCGATTTCCTTGCAATGCCGGTCTTGAGGGCGGCTGCGCATGTAGTGCAGACGGAAGCGCTTTCGCCCTGGCATCACCCATTCGACCCGGTTTATAAAGCTGCTATTGCCTTGGCTGCTGTCCTTGTTGTGTTGGTTCATGCGCACTTCGTCTTCTTTTGGATCAGACACACGGCGCGCAGCAATGTGCAGCGCTGGCGTCCTCTTGAGCTGAGTTGCGCGGTTACCGGACACATCCCCGTGACCTTTGTGATATTGGTCTTTAGTGATATTGTTTACGTGGTACTTCCGACTATCCCGCAGTTTGTGAGTGACGAATTTCAGTCCACTGGGTATTTGATGTGGCTTGAAGTCATGCCTGATGCATTCGAAGTCATCTTTCAGTGATACCATGTTCTATCGTTTCATACACGTGCAATCGTCATGTGTGCTGGCATGAACCCAGTCCAATGCTTCAAACATGTACCAATCAGAAAGCACGACAAGCACAACCTTGTGTTGCAAACCAGTCCAAGAGCATGTGCAGGGACACGTGTTGGCGCATGGCATCCTCTGCATGCTCTGCGCCACGAAGTATAGATACAAGCCTTGTCGCTTGCATGGCAGCATTTTACTCCTGTATTCTGTGCCTTTCCTGATGTGCGCTTGTTGTTGATGTGTGCATGACGACTCATGAATCACGATCTCCCATTGCAGTTTTCGGCTGGATGCAGCCACATCCATGAATTCTGTCGGCCCTACTACTTCGGGGTTTGGTGGTGGAAGCAACCTATCAGGAACACTGTGGATTGGGGGAAGGCATCACCCAAATCTGCAGCACCACCCTAGCCTTTCCCACAAGCAGCGCACCAAGACATTCGGTAAACCAATTATTGGAGGTAGGCCATCAGGCTGCAGTGCATGTATCAACAAATCCGGGAGAAGGGCTTGCAGACTCAGGGGCCTGGTCGGGGGATTCTACAACTCACCGAACCGATGCCTCCCCAACGATGAAAGGCTTTTCGACGACCTAGGAGAGGAGGAGCAGACTTACTGACCCAGTTGGGTCTTATGCACCTTGATTGGGCCCCTTGCTGCTTCTCAGAAGTATGTGTTTTTTGTGGCTGCTGTGGCATGTCAGTATTGCCGTGAAGGGTACTTGTGCATCGGATTGTGGAAGCATGCAGAAGCTCAGTTGATTTGCTGTCACATTCACACTAAGTTCTACCGCCGGAGATGAAGCGAGAAATGGAAGCAACAAGGCCTGGACCTCGACTTGGCTGTGCGTGGGCCATGACCTCCAGAGTTCGCAAAGTTCTTGCCGAGGCAGTTGTACAGTGCGCTGCCAGGCACCCGTTGAAAGGTGTTCGTGGACCAAGCAAAAACACAATGTGCATAAGGCAACAAATTGTACTCCCTCCCCTTCCTCTCCCTTCCCATCTCCTCTCCCCTTCTTCGTCCGGCCTGTGCCTTCTGTTTGCGTGGCTGCCTGTTTGGCTGGCTGGCTGGCTGGCTGGGGCTGGCTGGCTCGCTCTCTAAAACTGAGAGACTCTTTCGCTTTCTCTCACTCTCTCTCAGTCGCATGCTTTGCAGTCCTTTTCTGCCAAGCGTGGTAGCAGTGGGACTCTGCAAACCGCCGTCTTCAGACCTGATACCTGCAGGCTGCTCGAACTACAAACTCCGTCCAAATGATTCAGGTCGAAGGAGACAGTATGCTCTGCCGAGTGGTACATTCCTGCTGCTAAGTGAAACTCTCCAGGATTGGCCTGAGGGTGCCTTCTGCATGTACGGCAGCATGAGAGCAACAAATGTCTGTGACGCCAAAGTGCGTTGTTTCGCGACGCAGTGAGATGGCCGTGGATGTGACGACTTGTCTTGGTGTAAATTCTGTTACTGCCTTGTTTGTTTGCCGTTACAACGCTTACATGGCCTTCGTTTCGAACCTGAGTTGCGTACGGCCCCATAGTGAGCCCGACAGTGGATGAAATTGACTGTAGTCTCGGCCTGTTGAGAAACCCGTTGATAACCGTCTCAGTGACAATAGTGGCATGTTGGGCTCATGGCACTTCGGAAGTTAGTCTTGCTTGCAGTTGGTCTTTGCATAGCAAATGCTCGTGCGCAGAATGTCACGTCACCTGGCATAAGTTGTTTAGTTAAACAGTATTTATTTGGACGGGGGAGTGCCGAATGATCGGGAAGCTACTAGTTCATGGGTTTTGTTAGCAAGTGAACGTGGAGTCACCTGGCCACAGAAGCTGCAGTATTGGCTCGAGATTTGGCAAGGGGCCTCTTTCAGGGGTGCGAGGAGTCGGATCCGTGCAGGCTGGAAGCAGTTCTGATGGTACATGTCAGTGGCAATGTCATGCCCAGCTATGCCCAGGCTCATCTGAGCAATGATGTGGTCCAAGCAGAAGTCGCCTCGCTTCGTAGCAGGGAAAGCTACAGCTACCTGTGCTGTGGTGACCCGAGGATGTGAGACTGTCGTTTTGAGTGGAATGTGTGATTGAATTAGGCATAGACTCAGCTGGCCGGAGTCGACATGTGTCCCTGTCCCTTGTAACCAAAATGACGAATCTGCATTTCTTGCATGCTTGCATGTGGGAACCTTGGGCGACGGGGTTGCCGGACACGACCACGGTCCCTTGTCAATACGGTCTTTCTTTTCCACTTCCAACACTTGAACTTGCAAGCCTGGTGAGCCTAGTGTTGCCAAGGTCGGGCCTGGATCGTACGAGCTGCCAAGCGTTTGGGATGATCACGCCACGACCATTGGTGGACAAGACAGATTTCAGGCAGGTGTTTTCAAGCTTCGGAAAGGAACTCTGGCTTCGTCATGGTTGCCAGGAGCAGGTTGGACAGGAAACGCCCGGGCCAGCAACTTACGCACAGGCCGCGTGATGATGTTTTTCGACGTGTTGTTCGTGCCGAAGTCTGCATCATTTCATGCGACGGAGAACATTGGAGTTTCTCTTTGGTCAACCAGCGTGAACCACCACGGAACTCACTGTCTGCAATATCAAGTGCTACCCTTCCCTGCGTTGTAGGTTCGTCCTAGCAAGGCGGGAGGCAACAAAAACATATGATGTGCTCGTGGAACACCTGCACACCGCTGTCATCTACAGTCATGTACCGGAGCCTTGACTGTACGTAGGTTCTCCTGTTTCTTAGCTTGTGCTTCATGCGTGTTGAAGTTGAGACCGTGAGCCGGCAACTATCCAAGCAAAATAAACACAAACACACACACACACCATGTAGAAAAAAGCAAGGGTTGGAGGCCAACGATTTTGGAGTCCACATGCCACACGGTGTGGACATGAAACCGTGGAATCGAACAGATTTCCAAGATCTATTTGTACAGCGGCGTCAATGCAAGGATAGGTCGGACCGTGCCTGCATATCCAAATGCCAAGCCAAGCCCAACTTCGGCAGCACATGAGAAGTAGACGAAACCATGCATTGAATTCTATTTTGACAGGACACACAGACACCTGCAGCTGGAACTTTGAATTGGCAAGAGGCATGCATCTGCACGCATGTGTCTCTTGACACGACAGGCTTCTATGTTCAGAATAAGATCATTAATATCTTTAGTATTAAAAAACGCGTATTGAAGCAGTTCGACATGATCCCATCCAGTACAGAAAGAGTTCACCAGATGGACCCTCGACACAGGATTTTCAGATTAAGATTGGAGGACACAATTGCTTCCGATGTTTCGCGGCTACTTGCTCCAACATACAACGCAATACCAGCGTTCAGTTTGTACGATTTGGCAGAGCTACCGATGAGGAGGGAGTGGTCTTGGGGCTTTTTGCATTTGCCAGCAGTACTAGTAGTAGTAGTAGTAGTAGTAGTAGTAGTAGTAGCAGCAGCAGTAGTAGTAGCAGCAGTAGTAGTAGCAGTGGTGGTCGTCATAGTAGCTAGTAACAGCTAGTAAGTTAGTAGTAGTACTAGTAGTCGTCGTCGTAGTAGTTAGTGGCAGTAGCAGCAGTAGTAGTACGTAGTAGTTGTAGTAGTAGTAGTAGTAGTAGTAGTAGTAGTAATAGTAGTAGTAGAAGTAGTATTAGTAGTAGTAGTAGTAGTAGTAGTAGCAGTAGCAGTAGCAGTAGCAGTAGCAGCAGTGGTAGTAATAGTGGTAATAGTGGTAATGGTGGTAATAGTGGTAGTTGCAGTAGTAGTAGTAGTAGTAGTAGTAGCAGCAGTAGTAGTCGTCGTCGCCGTTGTGGTAGTGAATGGTAGTGATAGTGTTTGTGGTAGTGGTAGTGGTAGTGGTAGTGGTAGTCGTGGTAGTAGTAGTAAAAGTCGTCGTCGTCGTAGTGGTAGTAGTAGTAGTAGTAGTAGTAGTAGTAGTAGTGGTAGTAGCAGTAGTAGGCGCCCCCACCCACCTACCAACTACCTCTCCTAAACACTGTTCAAGCGCACATTTTTTTACTCGGTATTTACAGTACTTTCGTGCTGTCGCAGTCCAATACCAACCACCGCTGTTGA